CTATATGATAAGTGGAACTTATTGTTATAATATTAAGTGTTTATTAAAACATGTATTTCTTGCAGAAGAAGAAGCTGCTAGAGAAGAAAGAAGGCAATATCTAGAAGGTATATATTTACATTTTAAAATAATTTTTTCTATATATATTTGGTAATAACACATAAAAATCACATATCTTTGATAAAAGAGTTAAAACGATAAGTTATCCTGCTAGTATCCCCACTGCATTATCTTGATACATCATCTTCATCAATTTTGAGAATTACAATTAGAGAAAAATAATTAAATATTTTAATGATTCCTTGAGATAAATATACATGAATGAAAATGTGATAATCATTTGGTCTAAGGCTCTGTCCAAATTATCAAATTCTGTTTGACAGAAAACTATTGTAAGACCATATATAGTCATGATGTGATGTCATCATGACCATAGGCATGTCACATGTTTTTGTCAAATAAATTTGTAGACAGGGCTAAAACACTTTTAGAGCATTATTGACATAGGTGAACCTGGGACCCAAACAACTCCTTGTTCAGAACACACATTATCTATGCACAGTTTACCAATTTAATCATGGCATTTGTTAATGTTTGTCAATGGAATTTGAAGATCAGGGTTGATCAGTCACCAATTTTTTTATTTATTTATGTCTTTTTTTTACATAATGGCCTAGGCCTTCTTTTAGGATTCATTGCCAGTCATAGCTCGCCCCATGCATTTTCTTTGATAACATTAAGTTATCAAATTTAAAGCTTGAAAAATGGCCTATGAAACATCATGCAAATATTTTGGGTTCTGTTTTGGTTTTGAAAAAGAGCATTTGTGTGCTAGTCAGGCTATTTTTTGGCCTTACTATTGGTTTCTCAATTGTTTGATTTTTTTCAGAAAAATTGAGGGAGCAAAAAGAAGCTTTGAGGGAACGTCAAGAAAAAGAAAGACTGAGTAAAATTCATAAAGCTCAACATTTGGTTGAGGTCTACGAAAATCAAAAGAAGGCCGCTGAGAAAGGTAGCGTACCAAATTGGGATACATAAAATAACTGTTTTGTTCAGTTATCTAGATGAAACACAGTTTTTTATAATAAACAACACTTTTACAAAATCAGGGTGCCCATTACCTTTGGACTGCCAAAAGTGTTATGAAATCATAAACATTAAAAGATGTATGCATAATATAAATATATATAAAACTGATGAGAATATAAGCAGTTGGTATGGTAAAAACTTTTTATTTTCAGAGCTTGAAATGATGCAAAATGAACAAGAGATGATTATGCAGATTCTTAAAGATCAGCAACCTTTCGCTGCTAATGCCCACAAGGCTACTGTTGAGCCCAGTTCTGAAGGCACTGCTGACACGGTCGACGAAGAAGATGACGATGAAGCAGATATCGGCACAGATAATCCCGTTGTTGATAAAGAAGTTGAACAAGTGTTAAAAGAAATACTGAAATTTCAACCGAAGGACTTGCAGAAAATGGTCGGTGCTGCCATGGGATCTGTATTAAACAGCGTGAAGGCCTTGGATGAAGTAATAGGTTAGTCGAATCAATTGAAAACTAAATTAGTCCAATTTGATAACAAACAAGTAAGCAGTGCAACATACCCTGTATGATTGTTTTCCCCTCAGGAATTGAGGATGAAGATGATATGGATGAAGAGGAAAGACAACTGGTGAAGCAATTCAATAAGCTACTCGCATCCGTCAACCGAAACCTACCAGAAACAGCAGACGAAGAGGAAGAGGCACTTGAAGAGCTACACAAGAAATCCAAAGATGCCAAGCTACCGCAAAGTTCAGAAACCAAGCAGTTTTACAAGTACTTAAAGAAGTTCCAGGATGAGGTAGTAGATGCCGCAGAATCGGAGGAGGAGGCAAGCCGTCTGCTAAAACTTGGCAACCAAGTCAAGAAAGCTTATGAGAATTTGGATAGACTGTCTATGGAATTTGAAGATGTACGTACATTCAAATAATAATTAGCATTTTTATTTCAAGTAGCAGTTGTATGCAGTCATATAAGTGTATGAACATTAACTTACTAGAGACATATTTGTTTAAAATAAGACAGTAAAAGTATATATTTGAAAAACATATTAATATAAAGATACTAGATACGCAATTCAGGACAATGCTGCGAGTTATGGGTTATTCACCTACCTTTACCTAAAGTTGTCTTGTATTTATTTCCAGATAACAAATGAAGAAGCACAAAAGGCTTTTAATGTAGAGGATTCTGTAAGTATCATGGATATCAACATAGATATGTGTTTGTCACATTTGATTTGAATTTATTTGGAAGTAATAAAAAATCAATTCAAAAGGTGCATAAAACAAAAACACTTGCATGGATAACCCGTTGGGGTCTACTTCCCATACAAACGTTGATAAACAAACTATCAAAACACCATGACAACAGCTCTCCCATGGGCAGGAAATATACCATTATACTTGGTCATTTTGGTAGCATTAATTTCTATAGCCCCAGTGTTGTGAACACTGATAGCGCTCGAAGCAAGGACAGTAGCCCATACAGTAACATCCTTATCGTATAAGGCTCATTTCGTGTCTGTGCGGTCACTTGGAAAATCCACTACTAGCAGTTTTTGTCGATACACCACAGGGGACTGACTGTGTGGACTTGTACACCAGGTGGCCCCTACTCAAACTTGGTTCTTTAAAATGCATGCAAGCCTATTGTGTCAACTGGGCCTGTGTCAACTGAGAAAACTTATTCCACCACAGAGACAATGGGCGAGCATGCCATTGAAACCAGCGTGGATATTATGGTCATAGGCGTAGATCCCGGGAATGGGGGATATATCCCCCCAATATTTGACAAGGGGGGGATGGTCCATTGTATCATACCCCCCAATATTTTGGCTATGTATGGGATAAAATGGAACTTTACACACTTCAAAAGACTGTCACAGAAATAATTTGCGCTGTCTTATGCGCTTACAAAGATGAAAATTAGCATAATGTAATGTTGATAACAAAATTATTTTATCTGGTACCAATCTAAGCTCTTCTTTCCTTAGATGTTAGATGTGCTTGCAAAGAGAGCCTCTGAAGGGTGTGTACGACATCAGTAATGTTATGTCAATTCCAAGAATGTTTAAGGTTATATCGGTTGATGAGGAATATATTGATTAGGCCTATAATAGCAAATTGCATCAATTTATTTTGCGAAAACAAG